TCCCTAAATCTTCAAGCTTCATACGGTTGTAAGGGACCTGAAGGGCTATGCAGTCCCACTCCCTTTACAGAAGGGAGATTTTAACGGAGTCAAGCCAAGCATTTACCTTGGGAAACCTTGGGAAAAGGCATGCTTTTTTAGTCGGGGAACCGAAGCATTACCCTGCGACTCTGCCCAATCAAAGCTGTTCAGCAGAGAACCGGCTGCGTTCGGAGTATGAAATATTTACAATCCTTGCCTGAAAGCAAGTTGCAAAACAAGAACTATTTACAAGAGACATCTGACTGAACAAATTCAAGGCACTCAGGGCCTGCTTGCAGATGGTTTGCAAACAGGAAAAGGAATTAAATACGTTGAATCAACAATTCATTAGAAATGATTTACCAGCTTTATCAAGTGCATCATCATTTATCCCCAGTTACAGCGAGAAACACGGAGGTGAAGTGTTCAAAGAGTGAACCCATTCCAAAATTGGAGGACTCACAAGTTTCAATTTGCAAGCGTCTTGCTTTGAAGACTGGTGTGTGCTCCCTCCCTTCCATTCTGGATAATTTATGGCTTATGATGGGAGGATGTAGAGCCACCTGTTCACATTTTTGCCAGTTAACTTGATCTAGACCCTTCCAACCTGACTCTCAGTATTTCTTCTTATTCAGTCCTTGGCTTTTCCTGTGCAGAAACTAGCTTCGTGTTGTGAAGAACTGGGTACATCACACTAAATCCTTACGTGGGCAAATCAACATTGAAGCAGAAGTCTCCATAAATGAGTCAACAAATCTCAAACTCCCTGCAGGTTTCCATCCTGATGGATTAAGCCCTTTCACTTTTTCAAGCAGCACAGGAAGGAATTACAAAAACATGAGAGAGTATAGGTTTCTCTACACTGAGACAGTCCGAGCACCCACGATGATATATCACCTATTCTGCAATAAATTAACCTCCCTGCACTCCATATCGGGAACCACATAATACTAATATTACATAAGAAATACACTGAGCAATGATAATCAAGGTTGCTCAGAATTGTGTTTAATCTGTAATCTCCGAGGCTGTGTATGAAGAAATAAATCCATCTCCTCAGCCCCACATTGTTGCTATCGAACAGCATTTTAATCCTAAATGGAAGAAGATTGGCAATAAGTAGTAATTAAAAAAAATTACCTATACTTCATCCCTTTAGTCTCATATAAGAAAAGCTTGCCTCTCAGACATGAGAGACTTTGGGTAAGTATGCCAGGCTGAACTGGACACCAAATGTTCACAAACTAACCCAAAAATGGACTACTCAATCGGAAGATGGAGTTGTGATATTAAAGCCCACCTCGATGCTATTTAGGTACCCATTTAGACATTCATGGAGCATTAGGTGCCTACATTGCAATGATTTCTTATTCCCCACAGTTATTCATTTAGATCTTGATTTGAGCAGTATTTTTTAAACTGGGAAAGAAGTGCCTAAAAATGCTTCAGGATTTGGGTCCAAGCTGTCTTTGGAGGAAACCATTCCAATTTCCTTCCATTCAGCAGAGCACAATTCCCTCTGAACAGTCGAGCCCAGGAGGCACGTCAAAAGCTTTCTGTATACATGCAGTTTTAAACTTTTACACTCTAACTGGGTAGAGATTAATCCATCTGAAAATCACATCTGAAAGCAAAGACCCTGAAATGCTGTCACATCTAAGCCTAGCAACAAAAGGGCTAAAGTAGGTTGATTTTTCACTCTCTCTCTCTCTCTCTTCCAGTTCACTTCATCATATTTATTTTGAAGCATGATGTGCCAATAAATAAAATATCCTGAAAAAGAGTCAGAAAACCGCCTAAAAGTAAGCTCACAGGGAAAGGTGTGCAAAGGAAACAGGGCACTTACTGAGCTGTGTTATCCTCCATCCACTCCGCACTCTGCGTAGTAGATCAGATCAGTGGCATGTGTGTAAATCAGCACAGCTGTTCTGAAGTCAAAGAGGTTAAGCTATTTATGCCAACCGAGGATGTGGCCCAATCCATAGGCATTTGTGCCAAAATAGCAGCTCTTTGCCTCAAAGGTGGAGTTCACTCTTAATATTTCTACTGTCACAGGAGCCACGGCACTTAGTGAAATTATGGGTCTGGCTACCCCACAGAGAGCAGATCTGATGACAGGGACACCCGAATGCAGTTTGAAGACGGGGAGGAAGGAAATCTATTTGCTTTCCTTGATACCTCAACATTTTCCAGACAAGACTATGCAGACCTCGGTTAAGTCACAGGGAAAGGGCAGCAGGGAATTGATGCCAGGGACTCACTGCGAACCATAGAAAATGAAGGGTGGAAGGGACCTCCGGAGGTCATCTAGTCCAGCGTTTCTCAACCCATGCGTCGTAACCCAAGAATATATACAAGGGTCACAAACAAACTTTAAAAAACTGATCAACAAACTTTAGAACAGATTCTTCCTGAAAGGAGAAAAATGTGGGAAACGGTGGCTTTTCCCTTGCAGGCTGGCAGAGCTCCAGGTTGCAAGGGGTGGCTTGGGTCCCCCTCATCCCCCACACGCTGGGGAGCTGGGGGCCGGGGGTCGGCACTGGGTTGGACCTTGCCATCGATGTTTACAAATGGGAAAAATAGGTTGGAAACCACGGACTCAAAGCAGCACCATCCCCAGCTACAGCATCCCAGCTGAGCCTCTCTGCAGTACCACTCACAGCATCCAATGCCAACTAAGCCTCTGGCTCCAGCTAGACAGTGCCCAGCACGGGGCAGGATCTGCCCCGGGGGCTCCCCCAGGATTGATTGGTGCTTCGGGGGCTGCGGGATACCTGGCTTGGTCATATCCTGGGTTACTCCCGAGCTGGACAGAGGGGAGAGGTCCCGCAGTGCAGGACCTGCATCTGTGCACAGACGTGGGTCTCAATCAGCAAAGGGAGCAGCCAAGCGAGCGATGCTCTCCCCACCCCAGATTGCACCCTGCCTCCCCCCGGGGAAAGTCTCGGCCAAGTTGTGCCGGGGGTTCAGCCCTGCCCATCCTCACCTGGATGACGGTCTTGAGCGTGGAGGCGGCCACGATGGTGGTGCAGATGAGCGTGTCCGGGTCCTGGCCGCGGCCGTAGATCTCTCCCATGGTGAAGATCATGGGGATGGCCAGGAGGAAGGAGGCCAGCCAGATGCAGCTGATGAACTTCTTGGTGCGGCTACGGGACATGATGCTCTTGGCCTTGAAGGGGTGGCAGATGGCCATGTAGCGCTCCACGCTGAGGCTGGCGATGTTGAGGGCCGTGGCGTAGGTGCAGGCGTCCCGCAAGAAGTAGTAGCCCTTGCAGACGGCGGCGCCGAAGGCCCAGGGGTGGTGCACCCAGATGAAGTTGTACAGCTCGATGGGCAGGCAGAGCAGGAAGATGAGCAGGTCGGACAGGGCCAGGCTGGCCAGGTGGTAGTGCACCGTGCTCTGCAGGTTCTGCAGCGACTTCTTGCGCGCCAGCGTGTAGGCGGTGATGGAGTTGCCCACGGTGCCCACGAGGAAGAGCAGCAGGTAGATGACGGTCACCATCACCTTGGAGTACATGTCGGTGTTCACGTCCAGGTCCTCCTCGTCCGGGCCCTGCGCGAACGGCGCCGAGGCGTTGGACCCGTTGCCCGCGGGCTCCGGGGGATGCTGCTGCCCCGCCGCGCTGCCGTTCAGC